TACTTCCCCTTATTTAAACGATTTTTATTCCATCATTTGCATATCTATAATAACCCCTCTTTATTCCACATAACGTATATTATGCATCAACTACACCTATCATTTTACTTCCCCTCATACAAAATTATTTAAATTATTTATTTATTATAAGACCATATTATTTTTAATTACAAAAGACTTTACAAATATATTATTTTAAAACGATTACACATGATACATATATATATATATATTCACGTATACATATATATTCATATACAAAATTATTTAAAATGTTATTAAGTATATTATTAACACAATAACATCTGATCATCCAACAGTCATTTCCAGGAATGTTAGTGACTGTACGTGTAAGGGCTAACGATATATTATTAGATAATAAACATAGATATTAAGATATTAAGGAATCATTAATAAATAGAAAGCTATTCATGCATATCGACTTAAGATAATTAATGAATATTAATCGATTTGCGGGCCGGTCGAGACCTGTCCGAATTTGGTCGAACCCCCACTCTTTTATTAATAAAATCTATATCGAGACCCCTCTGCAAAAGAGAATGCATTCGCTCTCCAGACACCGTAACTAGTAAACGTCTTTTCTTATCTTCTCAAAGTGTTTTAAATTAAAATGGCTGGTTCGATCGTAAACAACATTGCTGCTAGAAGTTATAAGTATATCGCACCAACACCACCAAGCAACCTGATCGATTCAACTACATTCACCATCGACTTTGCTGCTCGTAAATTCATAAGTGTTGGATTGGACCCCGCAGATCAGTTCAACGTAGTCGCTCACATTATAACGCCATCACGATACGTATCTCTCCCAGTGGACTTCATGCGTAGAATATTCTCACTTATGGGTAATATTTTATCATTTATACTTGAAAAACCCGCAAAATATAAACGAAATATATATTTGGAGACCGATTGTACACGAGTATCCAGTATGGTATATAGAGGTGAGAACGTGTTGGTGATAGAAGAAACAAACCAAGACGGATGCCGTGTATTGCTTAACCGTGCGGATTTAATTACTTTACAATATTTGGAATGGGCTATATTTGAGCTAATGGTCCGCAAATCATCGTTCGTACGGCCTACGGTAATGCAACAGTTTAATGAGATGTGTGATTATTTCAAAAACAATTTCAAAAGAGTTGAAAACGTTGAAGAAATGGCTATAACAATCAAAAACATACATGATGATTTGATTTCCTCGCATATCTCGAAAAATAGTTGGAATTTTGTGAGTCAGTTAAAACTCTTCGCCACTACTCAGTTAGCTGAACAGTGTATTATGAAAATCGAACCCGAGGTAAATAAAAAAAAAAAACAAACATAACTATATTTTTCTTCATAATTATTATAAGTATTATTATAATTTTTAGGTTTACAACGAGAATCTTTTAATATTAACTCAGTCTTTGACACTGAGCTTCGCAGCGATAGACGGTAGAGCCGTTGAACAAAACGATGGACCTACATTTTTCGATCACCAGTCACCTCAGACAGCTTTACCGATTCCGAGCTATTCACCGATGTCTCCACCGAACTACTTATCAATATCGCCACCGATGTCTCAACGTAAAAGGAACGCAGGGTCTAATCCGTATGTTGCAATGCATATGTCCCTGAAGTTTTCAAATACATCGGCCAATAGCAACACGTCGCTTTTGAGGTATAGATCACTGTATTCTCCGAGTGTTTGACAGCCAAAATGGCTCCAAACCGAAGTTGCATGTTCATAATCCAAATCTTTGATATGTTTTTCCTTAAATGTTGAATAAAAATCTTCTTTCCTCGGTAATGTTCTTTCTTCTAATTTTCCCCAGCTGTCCGTGTACTCGTAAGGGTATACACAATTACGTGTTACAAGTGACAAATCTTCAGATATGAATACTTTGCTCGTTTCTCTAAATTTTTCTAATCCGGGAGTTATTAAATTTGTGGCTAGTTTGGACAGACTTGTAGCCATGAATCGGCACGAATCGATAAACCTTATTGAGAAGTTGTTTGTTATATATTTAGAAAAAGAAATGAATTTTTCCTCCGTGTTCGGGATAACCTTGATAGTATTATCGTCATAACCGAGTTCTGTTATTATAAAATGTGCATCATAGTTTGAAAGATTATGTAGAAAAACAGGAACGAATCTAGGTATTTGTAATTTTAAATTGCATGTGTTACATAATGTTTGTCTGAATTTACCGGATAAATGATTGTGATCTGCAACTTTATGGTTTAAAAGTGTGAATTTAGTTTTACATAAATTACACTCAATACATGTTGAATGTGATTTTTCTTCTTCCTCGGTCATAATTATTGGTACATTAATTTTAAAAAGTTTTTCAATCTTCCTCACTACATCAACAACTGTTTCTACAAAATGCTTGGCAACCTCTTCACGCGTCTCAGATCCACGATGAATAATAACTGATTGTTGTATATCTAGTTCTTCCAACAGTTCCATAGGTACGTCTTCACTTGCTTTTACTAGTAACCCGTAACTCATCGGTTTATGTTTTTGAATTGCTGTTGTCTTTTTACCTTTTTTCTTTTCAATCTTCACTAGTAATGCCTTGAAGTCTGCATAGATTACAATAGGATGTCTTTGCGATTTACTCCATGCCTCAAATTTTAGAGTTGTTCCTTCTATAGGCATAGCTGGCAATATGGGTTTATGAGACCCACATATTTTCAAATGTTCGTCCAACGCTGCCTGTCCGCTTAATTTATGTCTCACTCTATGATCAAAACTTGTAAAACACCGTTTACAAAAAACAACACTCCCATTATGTAGTGTTTTTTGCGAGCAAACAAGTTTTGAGAAATCTGAAATGTATATATAATGCGATCTTTCGTTGTCTGTAATTAATATGAGGTCAAAATGTTCCGCTTTTTCTTCATCGACTACTTTTAGCGGAAAGACTTTATATGTGGGGAATTTTAAAGGCGGTTGGAATTTTTTCTCAAGTCCGTAAACATTTACAGATGTAGCCGGATTATTTTTTTCGAATACTTTAATTTCATTCAACGGTGTCGGAAACGTCAGACCTGTGAAATTGTATTTGTTTTCGTGAATATAATAATTATCATTGATTCTATGTTTTTTCTCTCCCGTGAAATGTTTGGTTAGAATAGCCCACTTGAAGCACTGTTCGTCATTGTTCTGCGGGTTAATGGTAGCTTTTTTATTTTCAATGTATGAAGGTAGTGGTAAATATGACGATCCGCCCATAGGTATATATTTATATATACCTAATAATACACCGTCAATAGCTTGGAGTGAAAATCCACTGCCTTTGCCCTGATACGTATCTTCTTCGGTTAAAATGTTTACGAACATGTGGTCGACTATGTCTTCGACAATTGTATCCGCGAAAATCGCCCTGGTCTTGAACGCTCTGTTCACGGACGAATTATCTACATGTGGTTTGTTATATGTGGATTCTAGTTTAAGATTTAATTTGAGTGGTTTTGATGATGATTTTAAAATTTCGATTAGTTCTGATTTTATTGAGCTGAGAAAGATAGAATGATTGAATATATTTTCCAAGTTTTTATTATAATACCAAGTGATAATATTATTGAAAGATGATCCAACGTTGATAAAACCAGTCGCATTTCCTACTAAATTTAACCTGGCTCTCTTTAACTGACCTACATCCTTCGAATTTCCCCGTTTACAATTTTCAAGCCCTACGGAGAGAAAAAATAACCCCGTTAGATATATAAATTGTTTCAAACTAGAATTATCTGATTTATATTTAATAAAAAATATTACCTTCGCAAAAACCGATATTTTCAGCGCCTTCCATCGCCAGCACACACAATTTGTCATCGGAATCAACAATTTCATCTGATGGACCGGCAGGTGTGTCGGGAACAAAAATCTCCGGAGCGATTTCATGTTCATTACGTCGAACAATATTAGCTGAAAAATTGTAAACATTTTAAAAATAAAATTATATGTATACACTTGTAAATGTTTAGTTAAATAATAATTATTAATTCTATTGTAAAATTTATCGAATAAAAATTAAATGTAATAAGCTTTTTAAATATTTAATTAAAATATTTTTGAAAAAAATGAAATAATTATTATAATCGTATTTATTTAATTAAAAATACATACCATGCATATTCTTCGTGTGTTTTGCCAAATTATCTTTACGGGCAAAAGTCTTAAAACATATTTCACACGTAAACTGAACATTTTTGTGGATTTTATTGTGTCCAACTAAATTATCTTTGCTAGAGAACATTCTGTTACACTGAACGCACTTGAACATATTTGATATGTTTAAAATAACACAACGGTAAAAATAAAACCTAGCGATGAGAGTTAAAACTGGAGTACGACTGTGAAAACACTGAGCGGGCAGAGACTAACGTGTGACCAGTAGAAGACTAAAGGACATGATCGCATTTCGATTTCTGATGTGCCAAGAGCTCATAATTTTTTGACGATTTCACTAATTCTCGGAAAAATGTGTACAACAAGACGATGGGGTGGTAAACCATATTTCTATAGTAATATAATAATTCGTATAGAATAATTTGGATTTTTTCTTATGATTTGGTATGCAATGAATTCGAACAGGTATCGATAAGCAATATATTTAGTCTTTCTTTTAAATATAGTCGTTTAATATATGAAAGGTGTATTAGTGAAATTGTATCTACAATACTAATTGCATGACTCTACCGTTTAGCATTACACTTTCAGTCACTAACATTCCTGGAAATGACTATTAGATGATCAGATGTTATTGTGTTAATAATATATTTAATAACATTTTAAATAATTTTGTATATGAATATATATGTATACGTGAATATATATATAAATATATATATATATATGTATCATATGTAATCGTTTTAAAATAATATATTTGTAAAGTCTTTTGTAATTAAAAATAATATGGTCTTATAATAAAATTTTAAATAATTTTGTATAAGGGGAAGTATTAGGGGAAGTAGTTTCGTAGGTATAGGTTACGTGAACGATCGGGCGGCTGTGATAAAAAAAAAAAAAAAAAAATTTACGGCGGCTGGACCGGTGGCGGCGGCGGCGGCGGGTGGAGCCTAGAACTCTCCTTTTCACCCTACTAATATACTATAGAAATTAAAATTGAAAATTAATAATCAAATTAAGAATATTGATTGTTTTTTTTTTAAAAAAAATTAAAACGAGAGTTAAATGAAAGACAATCGTCTTTAAGTTAAGTATTGCAAAATATTATTTATGAGATCAAAAACATTTAATGATTATTAGTTGTATGAATGTATAAGTTTTAATATAAAAATTAAAAATAGAAGTTAAAAATTAATTTATTTAATTGATTTAATTTTACTTGAATCGATGATTAAAAAAACATCACGAGTCATATATTTGATGAAATTGAAATATTACTAAAAACGGAAACTAAGTCATGTGTTTTACACTCAACGCATAGAAATACAGAATTAGTTTACGTTTTAACTATTATCTCAATTTCAAAAAATGTATGATTCGTGACGTTTTTGTAAACATCGATCACTTATAGACGTTGTTAAAAATAAAAACATTGTATCTATAGTCGTGAGCGTAGTTAGGTAAGTAAGTGTTTATCACTCGTGGTTCGCTTTGATCTGGATTGGCTTCTCAATTACTGCTGTTTATTAACATATAGGACACATACACTACATACACATGCACGTAAATATAATAAAACCAATAACATTGGACTTATATTACTTACTTTAAATCGTGATGCCAGTGCGGCGTGTCGCTAAAAAATAACATTTAAAAGTAAATGTTTATTTGCAAAACTTTATTTGAATATTTAAATAAATAAACAAGTAACTTATATAAAGAAAGAAATAAATAAATACTTAGCATAGAGTATTATTATATTTGTAAAGTACGACCGGTTTCACATTTAAAATTCATCATCAAGTATACTAAAATTTAATAAAATCGGGATTGAATATAAAAAAGTAATGTAAGGAATACAAGAAGAAAAATTGGTCGTTTAACATAGAAATAATAGGAGATATAATTTAAAATGAGTTCTCATTAGACATAGATATGTTAAGAAATATAAACACTTTGGTCATTATTATTTATTATTATCTAAAATGTATTGGATGTAATAAATTATTTTTAAAATAGGTTTGTATGTTTTAAATATATTAAAATTATTTTTCTTTATTTCGTTGTGTATGTGTGACTCTTCTAAAACTGAATTAATGTAAATGTGATTTCATATTTAAAATATTTCTAAGACTTTATTAATATCAAAATATTTATTACGGTTATTTATTAAAATATATTTAGCAAAATTTGTAAAAATCTAAAAAATTTAATTTATTTGTATTTCGAGTGTAAATTGAATGTTTATATTTTTTATTTTGTTTAAATATTTAACTACATTTTTTGCTACCTATTTTAACTTCTAAATAAAATAAAAATTTCATCAATATATCTGTAATATGCGTAACAATGCTAAGAAAATAAAACACTTTAAAATCGAGACACATTTCAAACGTCTCAAACAAATACAAAATATTTTATCTGTGTAGGCCTGATAACTGTTTTTGTTATTTTTTTTTTTTTTTTTTTTTGTTTATTGACAATTTATTATAAAATCATTATTTTTTTAAAAATTTACCAGATAAATCCCATATTTATTAAAAACTTATTAAAAGCTATTAAGTTTATTTTTGGTATTAAATTACGGGTATAACATAAATATTAAACAACAAGATCCCGCAATAGGTGCCAAAACAATCAAGAAGGTTAGTTCGAAGGATTATTATACATATCGGTTGATGATTACATGCGATCAGGACAACGTTATTCTACGATGCTGTGAGCTTTGTCAACAATTCGTGATCGACATGTATGTAAAAATAGAAAGCGAACGATTACGATACGTGCGATTCAATCAAAAAAAGCTACTTGCGGAAGATTCTCAAAACAATTGTTAGATATCGATTATGGGAAAGTTACTACAGATGAAACGGGATGCATACAATTGCCAACCGAATTCTGCACAATCATTGATTCGCAAAAAATGCTCTCATTGACCAGATATTTCCCAATGTACACATACAATACACAAATCATGAGTGGCGGACAGAAAGAGCAATTTTAGCAGCAAAAAATGTGGACGTTAACGAATTGAATCTCAAGATACAATATTCGTTACCAAAAGACTTGGTGTTATACGAATCTATTGATACAGTTTGCAATGCTACTGAAGCTGTAAATTATCAAACAAAGTTTTTAAACTCATTGGATTTACGAGGCATGCCACCGCATAATTTACAACTGAAGGTTGGATCTTCGGTATTTTCTTCGTAATTTGAACCCACCACGGTTGTTCAACAGCACGCGATTAGTCATTAAGAAATTAATGAAAAATGTTATCGAAGTCATCATTTTAAATGGCAAATTTCGAGGAAAAAATATATTATTACCGCGAATCCCTATAATACCCACAGATGTACCAATACAATTTAAACACTTTCAATGTCCAATTAGATTGGCATTTGCAATGACGATGTCTGTCTGTAGCTTAGATTTGAGCACATCATGTTTTTCAAACGGACAATTATACGTGGCGTGCTCTCGAACCATCCAGTTTGTTAGTGTTGGCGAAAGATGGAATAATAAAAAATATTGTACACTCGGTTGCATTAAGAGATTGGTATTGTTTTTTACTAATACTGCCATAATTAGCGATGTATATAATTTTAGAGGATCAATTTTAATTAATTATTAAAAAAATAAATGTTTGATGTTTTTTCATTTTTATATTTCATCACCGTTCACAGCACTCCATACCTCTTCCACTTATATACCACATCCTTACACACCTATATTAAATTAGTAATTTTTTTCTATCAAATATTCTCTAGAAATAATTTATATGACAAAACAACGTTTGTCGGGTCAATCTTTATCTAGATCAAAAATTTGTTATCTGAGCTCAACACTGCCAGAGATTGATACGTTATAAGCCGCTTAATATATTACCAAGTTCAATACACGGATATGTGATATTTTTTACACTTAAATATCGGTGAACGAGCTGCACGCAATACACGCTATACACTATCTTGACCAGGTAACAACAACAATTACACCTACATAATATGCCATTATGAAAAAAAGCTAATATATATACATTACTTTTGTATTAAATGAATGATAAATATTCATTTAAATGTTAAAATAATGATTTATGTATTTAAATATTTATGATTATATCAAAACTTCAGAATTAATTCTTAATTTATACACTTTAAAAATTGTGTTCAATTATTCAATGTTCACGACGAAGAAAAAATTCAAAATTGATCTCTATTATTATAATAACTAAATAATATGCAAGGTTAAACACGTAAAACAAAAATATACACTATTTTTGAAAAAAACTACTTAATATGCGAGTATATGAATTGCAAAGCTTCGAAATTAAAATATAGTGATCATTAACCATAATATTTATATTGAATAACATTTTAAATACACACTTCCCAGACAATATGCAAATTAATAAAGTTTTTAGCATTATGTTTTGATACGAATATATATACATGTTCATAACCGAGCTGAGCGAATAATGAATTAGTTTTATTTAATGCTTTGTTTTAGTTTTGTTATTTATTGCATCTACATTCTTTGCAGTTATGGTAGTAGACGAAGATGTAGTAGTAGCTACTAGGACAGTGGTTCTAAACCTTTTTTGATTCATATCACCTTTAGCCACAAGAATCGAAAACCACGTTTCCCTAAAATCAAATAAATAAACCATCTTAAATGTATATTTTAGAATTATTTTATTATTATTAAAAAAAAAAAAATAAATAAAATAAAAAAAATACAGTACACAAAAAAATACTAACGGCTAAACTTTGATTAGGAAAATAAAATAATT